ATTCCTGCTTGTATTTATCTTTTCCATAACATTTACACTTTTTAACGTATTCAGCTTTTTGTTTATAATAGAAGTCAATGGGAGTTCAAAGTGCCGAGTCAATGAGACAGTGCTGAATTGCCATGTGATGGTCCATAAAATGCAGTGCATGTGAGACATGGCACTTCATGACTCCTTTCTCTCTCTCTCTCCCTCCCTCCCTCACGCAGACACACACACACACCTACTTGTTTTACCTACTTTTTGGGGACTGACTGGAATTTTTTTCTCATCTTAATAAGTTTAGCATACCTTCAGCTAGAAAAGCCATTTAGGCATTAAAATGTTTTGAGCTCTTCACTGCCATATCTACTGTATTTCATCTCATCCTTCAGATTATTCAACAAAGAACTTCAGTCATTTCTTCTCATCTTTCAGCTGTTTTAGCAATTGATTTCAGGCATTTTCAGGATGATCCTTCAGCTTATAAGCATCCACATGCATTTACAACAGGAAATGCATTTCTCTAGTTTTATTCTGGGATCTTCTGCCCATTTTTTGGCACTATATAACTCCAGCATACTTTCAGCTATAAAGGCCATTGAGGTATCGAACTGTGCAGCTCTTCAAGGACATTCATGCTTCATGCACAAACCACCCCCAGCTAAGCTCTTTACTTAGTTCCTTGGAATAGTGGAGGAGAGTGAGACAGGAAGGGAATGACAAATGCAGGCAGAGTCAATGAATATGAGAGAAAGGGTGAGAAATGGCACAAGACTTGTTGATGCTCTGGAAAACATTGTTTTGGAGAAAAATATGCTGTTACTGGAGTCAGGCACTTTAAGGAATGTACAGTATATACACATGTACAACCAAAAGCTGTTGCCTGTGCATCTACTGAGTCACACACCTAATTATTGGCTGCAAAACGTGTTAGTTTAACCTTCACATTGTTTAGACAGTATCCAGATGTAAGTTTGGTATGTTTTCTTCTGACTGGCAAGTTACATGACCCAAGACTACATACTGGATCTGGCATTTGAAACAAGTTAAAACCCACACTTAAAACCACACTGAATTTGTGATGTTTTCAGAAAATGTTAGAAAATACTCTTAATGTCATTACTAAAAGCTATTCTTTTTTTTCTTCCAGCCTGAAAATCTACAGAAAACATGGCTGAAGGAGTTTTGCCAGGTGGGTAATACATTGTCCATCCTCAAATATGTAATAATATTAGTCAAACAAGTAACATATTACTGTTGGGGTTCCAAATCTTGGTCATTCTGTCAGCTGTTCTGTTTGGCTGTTGCTGAATACAGTGGCACCACACCTGCAGATATCATGATATTGGATAGAATAAAAGAATAACTGGGAGATTGATGACACATGCTCAGAACTACAGATTCATTACAGGGTAGATACTAGCTAACTACTACTTTGTAGATCCATTCAGATGCATGTGAACACAGTTTGTGTAACTAGTCCAGTTTACATATCCCCGTGTGACAAAATAATAATGCTGCATTAACAAAAAGTGGTAGCTGTTGTAGCACCACTGGACAAATGCATAAAGCACAGTGTCTACACAAAGTGTAGTGGATGCAGTGTGTAACATCTTGTGTGTGTGTGTGTGTGTGTGTGTGTGTGTGTGTGTTCATCTGCCCATGGAAAGCACTTGATGTAGACAGAGAGAGAGAAGCCTACAGAAACATGTTGGAAAAGGGAAAACTGGTCCAAAACTGACAATTACAAACCTGAATTCCAATGAAGTTGGGTCATTGTGTAAAATGTAAATAAAAAAAATACAATGACTTGCAAATCCTTTTTGACCCATATTTAATTGAATACACCACAAATACAAGATATTTAATGTTAAAACGGATAAACTTTATTTGTTTTTGCAAATATTCACTCGTTTTGAATTTGATGTCTGCAACACGTTCCAAAAGACCTGGACAGGGGCAACAAAAGACTGGGAAATTTGAGGAATGCTTTAAAAAACCCCACCTGTTTGGAACATTCCACAGGTGAACAAGTTTATTGGAAACAGGTGAGCGTTATGATTGGGTATAAAAGGAGCATCCCAAAAGGCTCAGTTATTCACAAAAAAAGGCTGGGGCGCAGTTCACCACTTTGTCAACAACTGCGTGAGCAAATAGTCCAACAGTTTAAAAACAAGGTTTCTCAACGTGCAGTTGCAAGGAATTTAGGTATTTCATCATCTATAGTCCATAATATCATCCAAAGATTCAGAGAATCCAGAGAAATCTCTGCACATAAGCAGCAAGGCCGTAAACCAGCACTGAATGCCCCATGACCTTTGATCTCTCAGGCAGTACTGCATTAAAAACAGACATCATTCTGTAAAGGATATTACCATGTGGGCTCAGGAACACTTCAGAAAACCATTGTCAGTTAACATAGTTTGTCACAACATCCACAAGTGCAAGTTAAAACTCTACCATGCAAAGTGAAAGCCATACATCAACACCCAGAAATGCCACCGGCTTCTCTGGGCCCGAGCTCATCTGAGATGGACTGATGCAAAGTGGCAAAGTGTTTTGTGGTCTGACGAGTCCACATTTCAAATTGTTATTGGAAATCATGGCTGTCATGTCCTCCGGGCTAAAGAGGAAAAGGACCATCCAGATTGTTATCAGCACAAAGTTCAAAAGCCAGCATCTGTGATGGTATGGGTGTGTGTTAGTGTTAGTGTCAGTGGCATGGGTGTCTTGCACATCTGTGAAGGCACCATTAATGCTGAAAAGTACATACAGGTTTTGGAGCAAAATATGCTGCCATCCAAGCGACATCTTTTTCAGGGACATCCCTGCTTATTTCAGGAAGACAATGTCAAGCCACATTCTGCATGTGTTACAACAGTGTGGCTTTGGACTAAAAGAGTGCGGGTACTAGACTGGCCTGACTGCAGTCCAGACCTGTTTCCCATTGAAAACGTGTGGCATATTATGGAGTGCAAAATACGACAATGCAGGACTGTTGAGAAACTGAAGTTATACATCAGGCAAGAATGGGAGAGAATTTCATCTACAAAGATTCAACAATTAGAATCAGAATCAGAATCAGCTTTATTGGCCAGGTGTGACAGACACACGAGGAATTTGACTCAGGTACATCGGCTCTCAATGTGCAAAACAGTAAACCAGCATAAGGCTGTGTAATATAACAAAATAGCAGTATTAACATCAACAAACAAACAATGCAGAAAAAGCAGTATAAACAGACAGTAAACAATGCAGACAACAAAGGAATGTCCATTGAAATGAGATAAATAGGGATAAAAATAGAGTACTTAAGAACTAGAGACCTGTGCAAGTCTCTATAATCTGTACGAGGTATATTTACAGGTATTGCACTGAGGGTTATTGACCAGTCATACTGTCGTGGGTTAAGTGTTCATCAGTGCGACAGCCTGGGGGAAGAAACTGTCCCTGTGTCTGGTTGTCTTAGTGCACAGTGACCTGTAACGCCTTTCAGAGCGGAGGAGTTCAAACAGATTGTATCCTGGGGTGTGAGGGGTCTGCAGTGGTCCTCTCCGTCCTCCTTTTGACCTGTGCGGTGTACAGATCCTCCATGGAGGGCAGGCTCACACCAATGACCTTTTCTGCAGTCCTGACTGTCCGCTGAAGTCTGTACTTGTCCTGTTTGGTTGCTGAGCCAAACCAGACAGTGATGGAGGTGCAGAGAACAGACTTGATGATTCCTCTGTAGAACTATATCAGCAGCTCCTGGGGCAGGTCGAACTTCCTGAGCTGGCGTAGGAAGTACATCCTCTGCTGTGCCTTCTTGATGATGGTCCTGATGTTGGATGTCCACTTCAGGTCCTGGGAGATAGTGGAGCCCAGCAACTTGAAGGACTTTACTGCTGCTACAGTGCTGCCAAGTATGGTGACTGGGGGCAAGGTGGGGGGCTCTTCCTGAGGTCCACTGTCATCTCCACTGTTTTGAGCGTGTTCTGTAGGCTGACTCGTCATCGTCTCGGATGAGACCAATGACTGTTGTATCATCTGCAAACTTTAGGAGCTTGACAGAGGGGTCCTTCAAGATGCAGCCGTTTGTGTAGAGTGAAAACAGCAGTCCTCAGTTCCCAAAAGCTTATTAAGTGTTGTTAAAAGGAAAGGTGATGTAACAGAGTGGTAAAAATACCCCTGTCCCAGCTCTTTTGGAATGTGTTGCAGGCGTCAAATTCAAAATGAGTGAATATTTGCAAAAACAATAAGGTTTATCAGTTTGAATATTGTCATATGGTGTATTCAATTAAATATGGGTCAAAAAAGATTTGCAAGTCATTGTATTCTGTTTTTATTTACCTTTTACACAATGTCCCTTAGCCTCAAACGTATACAACACTGTTTCATATTTTCAAATATTGTTGCACAGATGTAAAAAAGTTTACTTCCAGACTGAATAGAGAGGTGATTACATGATTCACATCTCTCCTTAGTAGAATGTTTAAAATTTGCAACAGTATTAGTCAGTACACATCAAAGACCTCAAAGCACCTGAACACTTTTGTGGACACAGTTGAGATCTGTTAAGTTTGTATTCTACTCTGAAAGTGAAAGCAAGCAAGTTAGGCTAACTAGCTTCCTATCGGAAAGTGGCAGACAGTTAGTTTGTCTTGTTAATGCTAGATTCAGTTCCTGTTGGGCAACTGTGGTTCAATGGGTAGAGCAGTCGTCTCCCAACCAGAGGTTCAAATCTCTGTGCCTGCAGTCCTTGGGCAAGACACTGAACCCCCAAGTTGCCCCCAGTGGTTAGAGCCATCGGTTGAGTTGGCGCCACAGATGGCTGCCTCGGTCCTGTACTGGAAACAAATTCCTTGTGTGTAACATACTTGGTCAAATAAAGGTGATTATCCTACCTTATCCACTAGAAGTTACTTTTCTTTCATAACCTGCTGAGGCATCGGTGGCTCCTTCACATTCTGCGCTGTTTATTTCAAAGTGGGGCTCTAGCTAGCTGTTAGCTGTTTTGTGTTATTGTCCAGTTGTGGTGATGGTAAGTGGCCAGACTGATTTGGACAGGATTTTTACAGCCACTGTGTAACTGGTCAAATGCAGTTTTCAACCAATAGCCGCATTTTAAGCCCCTTTTCCACCACCTGGTACCGGCTCAACTTGAGTCAACTCAACTCGTCTTATTTGTGTTTCCATCTGTCAAATGTTGAGGACATTGAGGTTCCAACGAGCAGCAGAGGTGATACCAAATGGTCGCGTGCAAACACTGCAGACTAGTGATTGGTAGAGAAATCACATCATCAATGTGCAACACGTCCTGGAACAAAGAAAGTGCCATTTTTAAAAGCAACATTATTTAACGCTAACCACTACTTTACTGTACGTGTAGTTACTGTACCAGCTAAAAATAGCCACATAATGAGAATCAAGAACAGCCTGCCTTCAATGTCCTCCATTGTTACTGTGTCAGTTGCTGATGACGTCATGGCAATGGAGCAGCAGAGGTGATACCAAATGGTGTCTTTCAAACACTGCAGACTAGTGATTGGTCAGAGAAATCACATCATCAATGTGCAACACGTCCTGGAACAAAGAAAGTGCCATTTTTAAAAGCAACATTATTTAACGCTAACCACTACTTTACTGTACGTGTAGTTACTGTACCAGCTAAAAAGTGAGAATCAAGAACTGCATACCTTCAATGTCCTCCATTGTTACTGTGTCAGTTGCCGATGACATCATGGCAGTGTAATGCGTTGTTTCTATGAAAACCAGCTAGACTGAGAGGGGACCATCTGCAGTGGAAAAACGAGCACACGGTACCAAAGGAAAGTCAAGTCAAGTTGAGTTGAGCCGGTACCAGGCAGTGGAAAAGTGGCTTCAGAGGTGTATGGAAGCCCATTTGTGAAATGTCACAGAGCTTCAGACAAAAGGAGAAAGGTAGGTAGGGTAGGTAGGTAGGACTTGATTGATCCCACAGTGGGGAAATTCCTGTGTTCCAGCAGCAACAAAACACCATAAGAACAAAGAACAAACATCCATCCATCCATCCATTTTCTTCCGCTTATCCGGGGCCGGGTCGCGGGGGCAGCAGTCTAAGCAAAGATGCCCAGACCTCCCTCTCTCCAGACACTTCCTCCA